AGTTGGCTGGTGGAACAGCACTTTGGTTTTCTATTAATTAACATATGACACATAGAATCTGCCACAAAATGTTGCAGCTTGCCATTAAAAAGGAGTCCTGTTGTTTAGGGATTCAACTAACTTGAAATGGAAATCCTACAGTTTGTGGTCCGATAGAGTCATAGAATCATAGAGTTGGAAGAGACCTCATGGGCCATCAGGTCCAACCCCCTGCCAAGAAGCAGGGAATTTTTTTTCAAAGCACCCCTGACAGATGGCCATACAGCCTCTGTTTAAAAACTTCCAAAGGAGGAGCCTCCACCACACTCCGGGCAGAGAGTTCCACTGCTGAACAGCTCTCGCAGTCAGTGAGTTCATCCTATTGTTCAGATGGAATCTCCTTTCTTGTAGTTTGAAGCCATTGTTCCGCGTCCTAGTCTCCAGGGCAGATAGAAAAAAGAAAACCTTCTCTCTCCTCTTCCACTGCCATAACTTTGTAGCTTTAGGGAGCTTCCAATCCGAAGACCCAACTACTGAACAATCCCTTCCTAATACAGTACTATATGGGTAAACACACAGCATGCATCATTCCTATCTGCGACTTTTTGCTTGACATCCAGCCTAAGAGTTCTGGAGAACTCTTTCCCCCCCTTTATCATATGAAACAGCATGGCTTCCTTTGCGTTTTAGGTATTGCTCCAAAGAGTTGAAGTTTGCTCACCAAATTCAACACTAACTTGAATGTTGTTCAAGCAATCAACACGAATTGCTTGTAAAGCCTTTAATGATGCTTATACAAATCCTCTCCCATGCAAATTCTTGTACTACCAGTTTTAATATGTGTCAAAACAATCAACAATATTGATTGAAGGAATGATAAGCACTTCATACTTATTTATATTCAGCTGGCTGTGCTGAGACATGCCAGTCTTTGGGGTTTATGCTTTGATTGTGTATAAAGAATTGTGATGAAATATTGCTCGATACTGAGCGAAATGCTGTTACCTGATACTGAATTTGTTAAGAATATTTATGAATACCACTAGATACTCTGTGAACAGATTTAGGTACAGTCTTAGATATTTAATGAACATGCATGAAGTGTCCAGTCATGTTGAAAACATCAAAATTTTCTGCTTGCAGTTTCTGTAATCAGCTTGAAATCAGTGTGGCATGGCATTAGATATTAGATGTAAGCTTGGGTGTGATCCTAGACTCATCGCTGAGCCTGGAACCTCAGGTCTCGGCAGTGACCGGGAGAGCATTTGCACAATTTAAACTTATGCGCCAGCTGCACTTGTACCTTGGGAAGTCTGACTTGATCACGGTAGTCCACACTCTGGTTACATCCAGTATAGACTACTGCAACACTCTCTAGATGGAGTTACCTTTGAAGACTGTTCAGAAGCTTCAAATGGTCCAACGAGCGGCAGCCAGGCTGCTAACAGGAACGGCACTCAGGGAGCATACAACTCCTCTGTTGCGCCAACTCCACTGGCTGCCAGTCTGCTACCGAGCACAATTCAAAGTGTTGGCTTTAGCCTATAAAGCCCTAAACGGTTTTGGCCCTGCTTATCTGTCCAAACGTATCTCTCTTTATGAACCATCTAAGAATTTAAAATCTCCTGGGGAGGCCCTGATTTTGGTTCCGCCTTCTTCACAGGTTCGGCTGGCAGGGACGAGAGACAGGGCCTTCTCAGCGGTGGCCCCTTGGCAGTGGAATGCCCTCCCCGGGGGCATTAGATCGCCCTCCACCCGCTTAACATTTCATAAAAAAGTCAAAACCTGGCTGTTTGAGCAGGCTTTCTCAAATGCAGTGTAGCAGACAAACCCTGATCATGGAATGACTGGACAATGCGATTGGATAATGATTTTGATAATGAGATGCAGAGGATCTGTTTTTATTATTTTTATTATTTAGTGAATTCTATGTCTGTTAAATGTTTTAACTGTTTTATATTATTATTATTATTTTATAATTTTATTAGGTATTTTCAAAAGTTACAGGGAAAGTGGGGGAATAATTGCAAGAAGACAGGACAGTAGGAAAGGATAGTAACTAATAAGAGGGAAAGAGGGAGAGAAGAGAAAAAAAAGAAAAATCAAAAATCAAAAATGAAAATGGAAAAAATATAAAAATAGAAATAAAAAAATAAAAATTGAGTTCTTTGTGACTTCCTGGGTATTGTCGTATGGGGTGTCTTCCTTTTCTTTYTCCTTTCTTCTTTTTTGTTTATACTCTTCCTCTCCTTCTTTCATTTGAGGTCCAGTCCATTATTTTAAATTATTGTCTTATAGTTCTTCTTCTTTAAGTATTCTCTTATTTTTCCCCAATTTGTTTCTTTTATCGGTGTTTATGTCTAGATAATAAAAATGTGAGTCTGTCCATGTTTCTTATATCAAGTATTTTTTGTATCCATTCTTCTATATCCAGTATTTTCTCTGATTTCCATAATTTGGCGTAGCATATTCTAGCCGCAGTTCTTAATAAAAATAATAATTTGTCCGTATTTTTGTCCATTTTTGTTTTCGTCATGCCCAATAAAAACAATTCCGGTTTTTGAGATATTTTCATGCCTAGCATTTCCTGTATTGTCTCTTTTATCTTCTTCCAGTAAATTCTTGCCTTTTCGCAGGTCCACCACATATGGTAGAAAGTTCCCTCTTTTTTCCTGCATTTCCAGCATTCCTGTCAAAGAGCCATCCAGCCATAGATATAGATAGATATGATTCACACACAGAGAAATATAGTATCATATATTTGAGAGGGACCCCTAAAGAAGGACAATTATACGTTGAATGTTCCAGAGTAGGCAAACCAAACAATCTCCACATCAACACTGACAAAGAAACAGCAAGAAATACTGTTTACTCAACAAACATAAAGAAATTACATATATTAGAAATCAACACTTTCTCATTACTTTATTTCCCAGATCATCAGACTGGGCCACAGCAATGTGTGGCAGGGGACAGCTAGTAAAATAATAAATACATAAGCTTTTTTATAAACTAAGACTTACTTACTTAGGTGATCCCTCGTTGGCCGAGTAGGATAGTCTTCCAGGATCAGAATTCTTGTGAGTCTGTATGTGACTGTGGAGCCCTATTCTTGATTTGCTAATTCTTGCTGCTGATTCTTGTTAAACCAAGACTATGGAGTGCAAGAAAGTAATGAATTGAAATACCTTGTTATTTTCCTTGGCTTGCCTCTATGCAGATGACCAACAACCTCCACAATCATAAAGCAGCATGCCATTCAGCCATTCATGGATATTTATCTGTCTATGCATGCATCCATCCACCTATCCACCAGGACGTATTTGTTTGGCCACCGTTGGAGCCAGAATACTGATCTTGGAAGTCTAATAATAAGAATCAGGGTTCAGTAGCTAGTTGCTTTGGTGCCAAATTGGGTTCCCCATTTGCACATAGTTTCCAAGACATTTCTGTCTGAATGAGTGAAATAGTTGCACAGGCCAAAATGAATATGTGCATCAAAGACCAACACTTTCACACAGTTTGGTGCCATGCCTTTTATTTAGATGGAAGGAAAGAACTACATTGTACTAGGTAAGAAGCTATATGACAATATCTTACAGCACAGCATCTGAAAAGAAAAAAAAAGGATTGCAAAGCCCCACAAAAGTGGACAAGTAAGCGCACAAGACACTGTACATTTCTCAACCGACGGTGCCCATTAAATTATAAATAAACAAAATTTGGCTTTAAACAGCCAAAGCATTAAAAAATAAACATGCCAACAGTCATCCTTAAATTGGTTCAGTAGCCACAATGACTGTTGGAGTTTGAACACCTGGCCTGGAAATTAGGATGTTTGGCAAATTCTGTCATATAAACAATTAAAAACAACACCCTTCTGACGAAAGCACCAGTGTGTTCTGATAATGTCACTGATAACCACTGGGTTTCTTCACAAAAGTCTTCTCTTTTCCTAAACGTGATCCTAAACGAAGATACATCGTCATTAGAAAATCTGCAGGCTTACAAAGTAAATAAAAATATTGTCCTTGCTTTTTAAGAATGTCGTATGGTTCTAATTCCAACAGTTTCCGCTTTTAATTGCATGATTCACACATTCTACCTTTAGATACTGCACAAATGTCTCTTTCTGAACTGTAGGCAAAATTCATAATACATTCAATAATTTAAAAATTACCCCCCCCCCCAAACCTTTCACAAATCATTCTATTTGGACAGTTGTATAGTATTCAGGAGATGGTGTGCAACTTCTCTTTTAGCAATAATACTTTATTCAAAAATCCTTAAATGTAATTTCTGCTTTTGTCTGTCCCATTTATGTCCTAGTAGTTTTCTCCAACCATAAATGCACTAGGCTGGTTTTCCTTTAAATTTAGGTTTACATTGATGTGCAAAATGTTTATCCTATGCAATTAGCCGAAGGATAAGCCTAGAAGGTAGAAGGTATAGACTTTCTATCTCATATATATAAAAGTTATGAGTTAGATATCCTGGTCCATATACATGCAAACAATAGGAATCAGCTAACCACAAACAGATGTGAGCCACATACCTATTAAACAAGAGGGAAGGGGATTTTTTTTTTACAGTTTTAACAAATATACATAAATATAAGAACATAAGTTACAGTAAAATATTGACTGCATTTCTGAGAAAATGTTGATAAACAGCCCAGATGCATTAACGCCTAAGGCCTTTTAATAATTTAAAAAAGGATTGTTCTCTAAATTACTTAAGGACTTCCCATTGCTGTACATCTATATAAAGAACGCAAGCAGACTGTAGTGAAATACGACTTCTCCAAATCTAGCAGATCAGTGGGAGAAGCCGTAGAGTTTTTCAATACTGCAGATCATTTATTAAAGTATATATTTTAAGACAGCAAGTTCAAGACTGTCTTTCAGTTCCAACACTTTTCACAACGATGAAACTAAACAGGGTTGTCAGTAATTCAAGTCTTTTCCTGAGAATGAGGTTCCAAGCTGTTTCCCTCCCTCCCACCCACCCACCCACCCCAAACCAAGTCGTCTGGTGTACAAAGGTCAAAAACACAAACCCCACAAAAAACTCCCAACACTCACAAAAATAATAGTAGGTTTCAAGTTAGTACTTCCTCACTTGCTGAAACAGTGGTTGCTATATTGAGTGGGATCCTTTAAAACAAATTTCCAAGCAAAACATGCCTTTCCTAACATAAAAAGAGATGTGCAGCCCTTTGTAAATACTGCAAAAAACGTCCCGGTAATTATTTTGGTTAGCTGTTAACACTACTACACGTTTGCAGATCTTTGCCATTCTCAAAATGTTATGTATCCCAATTAATACTGTTTCATGTGTTTTAATAAAATTAAATCACTATCTCATGTGTCTATGAAGAACAAAAAATTCTTTGGTCCATATGTTGGTTAGCATACTGGTAACATATCAGAATAGCTTTTATCAGTTGATATATCTACATAAATTCCTTTTTAAGGATGCACGTGAAAAGTACATTTTCGCATAGTTATTATTGTTGTGTTTAGAATTTTGAAACGAAGCAATACATGAACCCTTACTAGTATGCCTGTGTTTAGTAATGTTATTTATTTGAATGTGTTTCTTAAAACCAAATAGCACTCCTGAATCACTTACATTTCTGTGTACTCTGTTGTTGTAGGTTTTTCCGGGCCATGTTCTAGAGGCATTTTCTCCTGAAGTTTCACCTGCATCTATGGCAAGCATCCTCAGAGGTAGTGAGGTCTGTTGGAACTAGGAAAAGGGGGTTTATATATCTGTGGAATGACCAGCGTGGGATAAAAGACTCTTGTCTGTTGGAGCTAGGTGTGAATGTTTCAACTGACCAGCTTAATTAGCATTTGATGGCCTGGCAGTGCCTGGGGAAATCTTTTGTTGAGGTGTGATTAGATGGAGCCTCTAACAGCCACCATGTCAGACTACACAGAGAACCCATTGAAATCCACAAGCATGTGGACAATTTCAACAGAAAGGAGGAAACCATGAAAATGAACAAAATCTGGCTACCAGTATTAAAAAAACCTCTAAAATTACAACATCAAAACAACCGAAAGGAAACAAACAAGGACATCTAATCACCCCTCAACAAAAGATTGCCCCAGGCATGGCCAGGCCATCAAATGCTAATCAAGCTGCTCAGTTGAAACATTCACACCTAGCTCCAACAGACAAGAGTTCTTTGTCCCACCCTGGTCATTCCACAGATACACACACACCCTTTTTCCTAGTTCCAACAGACCTCACTACCTCTGAGGATGCTTGCCATAGATGCAGGCGAAACGTCAGGAGAGAATGCCTCTAGAACATGGCCATATAGCCCGAAAAAACCTACAACAACACAGTGATTCCGGCCATGAAAGCCCTTTGACAATACATTTCTGGGTACTATTTGAAAAACAGCTTGGGCAGAACTGTAAGGAAGAAGCCCTGTTTTAAAAAAAGGAAAACAAAGAAGGGGGAAGGTTTAAGGGAGGGGAGCACCAGTGCATCCAAAGCTCTCAGTTCATGCTTCCCCAGATCAGGGCCATGACTCATTTTTTAAAAATATGTCAGTATGCTTCTGAGTATCTTGGAGGAAACAAGAAATGTCTTGGTATCGCATTTCTTGCTCAAAATCTGAGATTTGAAAACAACATTTAAAATTGAATATTGTCTGCGAGAAATACCATCCCGAACTTTCCCTTGAAACAAACGAGAGCCAAAAAAATTGTATAGATAGTTCTCTTCCACTGAAAAATAAATGTGTGCCCTTTTTAAAAATTGTGGGGTACTAACAGCGAATCAAGACGGAATTTTCTCCAGTCGAGTTATAATGAACACAAGCAAATTCCAAAACAGGCATGAATATACCAAAGTATAAGGCAATACATATAAAAATGCGTTGATTTCGGTCACTGCAGTTTTGCAAACATTCAATGATTCAGTGTCTTAAACCCAAAGCAAACCCTCTATAAATGGCGTGTTAGCACATACCTATCTGCACTGGCAACGCAAGATTTCATGAGCACATGGCTGCATGAATCCCTTAAGTGTTCATTTTTCTGTAAGTCTCCAATACGGTGTTTACATTCCAGTTGTGCATGGCAACAGAGCTTGTTCTCAGTCCACAATTTTCTTGGCAAATAGGAACCTCTCTTCTGATAGGCAGCAAATAATGAAGTGCAAAGTTTCCCACAACTGTCTTCAGCAAGGCATCCTCCTCTCAAGTCGCTATGCTTTTGCAGGTAGGAGTTTTTTCGGCGTTACTGGTCTTTTACTCTGCCACAAATGGCTGTGAATGGTGATTGCGTCGACGCTGGCCGACAGCGTTTTAGCAGGTATGTGGCTGAATTGTTTCCTGTCAGAGTTGTACTTATAAAGCCCTTCAATCATTTTCTTGCTGATGGATTTGGGGCCTATCCCAGTCAACTTACTGATTTCCTCAGTCTCGGGGCAGTACGTATACAAAGATCGGAACTGGCAGCCTGAGTCCCGGAAGAGGATTAGGAAGTTGTTGGCATCCGATTTCTCCATTTCCTTTGGGGAAAAGAGGGAAGAAGTAATGTCACATGAAAAATTAAATTTGAAAAATGTTTTACTGGGAAATAAAATAATTTGCCTCTTTTTGGTAATGTTGGACTGTGCGGCAATGTGAAAGCACACTTAATTGCATTAAATATAAACACATTGGTCTAAATTCGGTTGTTTGTCCCACTTGCAGTAGAGCCATCTAATCAGTTGGATTTACCTATGTGTTGACTCTCCTTTCAACAACTGATTCAGTGGGTCTACTCTAGCTGAGATTAACCAATACAATTCAAACCATCACTTGTTGTTTTGGCAGAGATCAGACAACTAATACATTGACAAGATTTCTATTTGAGATCACTATACATTATGTTATTTTGTACTGTTTACTTTATCTGATTGGTTTGTTTATTTTATTGTGATGTTATTTTGTTGTTTATATTTTACTAGCTGTACCCTGGCCACACATTGCTGTGGCCTCAGAAAACAGGAATCCTGGACATGAAACAATCTGGGCTAGGGAACACCTCCCCACAAAGATTTCCTGTAGACAGGAAGAAGCCAGGTTTTTAAGCTGCAAGGCTTTTCAAAGGTTATGAAGGTAGGCAATTTATGTATATATATATATATGTCTACATGTGTATATATGTGTGTGCTTGTGTATATGTATATATGTGTGGTTTTCATGTGTATATATGTGTGTGTGTATATGTTTATGTATGTGCATATGAGATATATATATGTATTTATGTGTGCATGTATATATGAGTGAATATGTGTTTGTGTAGATATGTGCATGTGTGTGTTGTTTGTATATGTGTGTAGGCCTGGGCTTACTTGGGCCCTCCAGACATTTTGGACTTCAGTTCCCACAATTCCTAACGGCCAGAACAGCATGGCTGTTAGGAATTGTGGGAGTTGAAATCCAAAATGCCTGGAGGGCCCAAGTAAGCTCAGGCCTGGAGTATGAGATTTGTTACTGAACCCTGTGTCTCTTTGGAGGCCTGTGTTGCCTCCTCCTGGCGTGGCTCCTCCCCCCTCCCTCACTCCCTTCCCTTTCCCTCTCACCTTCCTTGCCTGTCCTTCTCCCCCCTACCCTCCCCTGCCCTCCCCCTCTGAGAAGGCTCTCAAGGCTGCTTTTCAGAGCAGCTTTGCTGGGCTGTTCTGGCTTCTCGGCTTGGCTCCCGAAGGAGGGATGGCCAGCTGCTTTGCTATGGATGGCTGTTTGTTTCCCCCTCTCGCTCAAGCAATGATTGGTCTAGGGAGCAGCCCTTTGAGGCCGCCCCTGCTCCCGGGGAAGAACCTCCATTTTGGAATCCTCTCTGCCCTATTCAGTTTGAGGAAGGACTTCAGGCGTGCAGACGGCTATGCAGCTAGCTCTGGGAGAACCATTGCAAAAACTACTTTAACCTAGACTACTTTATAGATAAGTATTAAGCTATACTGAGCTAGTATAGATAGTGTATTATGTTTTGAATATATAGTTATAGAGAGAGTTGGCACTCCTTAGTCTCCTGAACTAACTTTAAGATAGGGAAAGAACCTGCTTCTTTCTAAACTGCAACAGCTTGCAGTTAGGGTGTTAAGATTTCAGAATCTTATCTGCCATCTGGAGAAAGGGGTTGCTTCTGTAACTAAAGAAAAAAAAGAATATTTCTAAAGTTCCATTTATTGTCCATTTATTGACTGTTTGATTGCAACTTAATGATCTGTGCCAAGTCTTCAAGGACTTTGTGTAAATAAATATTCTTTTTGATATTTAAAACCAGTGCTAGTCTCGGTTGCTTAATATTTTAAGTTTTCAAGATAGACAACTGCAGTTCGCTCAGCAATAGAGAAAGCACGTCGAAGTTTTGTTTTTTTATAGTGTATGGGCGGACGGCACAAGTAGCTCATGAGCTAAGGGGAAAAAGAAACCCCAGTAGTAATTCATTATTTCAGTGGGGATAGCTGAAGGGAGAAAAGGGCAAGCCAGAGCCTTGAATTGTCAGTTAAGAAAAGAAAGATACTTCGTAGTGAAATAAGTTGAAAACCAGTCTGGTGGAAGTAAAAGCCATACTGAGAGTTATATTGGAAATAGTTTAACTAAAGTCACCTGTAACAACATTTAAAGGAATACAGAATAACCATCAAATGTTGTACACCTGTGAATCCTTAAATAAATATTTCCTCGATCAGTTATTTATAATTAAGACTCATGTCCATTTATTGAGAAGAAGATTTACCTCAGAAGAAGGTGGCTGAAGATATTGGAAGAAAGGATTCTGGTTGGAGTTACTCCTTTTAAAAAAAGTGCCTCAAGTAAAAACATTATAAAAGTCAAGCCTTAGCTACACGCACAGCCACTACTTTAGTCTCCTTATCGCCTTGGTTATATATTATATTTGTCATTTTTTTGTCTTGTTTTACAGTAGGTGACTTAGCTAAGGCCATGGCTGAGCAGGGATTTGAATCCAGATCTTCCATAGAGGTGCCACATCTTCAGCTTTAAATGTTTATATTTCCTCCTTTTCTCCATAGACAGATCAGCCTTACCTCTAATATTTTATTCTTCTGGCCTTCATTTACTTTTCCAGCCAAGCAACAATGAGCCAGAGCATTTTGAATTATATGCTTATTGGATTTTGCACTGGGTTCTTTGTAGAGTTTTGGTCCTAAAGAGGGAGATGGAGAGAGAAAGCGAGAAAGAAAGAAAGAAAGAAAGAAAGAAAGAAAGAAAGAAAGAAAGAGAGGATTTATTCAAAAGCAATGTGATTTTAGGGAAACAAGTCTTAATACCATGACACTATCACAGACTGTGAAGGTTATAAGTGATGCAACTTAAAGCAATTCAGAAATCAGTAAAACACATTTTCTCCCATTTTAGACATTGTTCATTTAATATATAAAGAATGAAGAGACTCTTGGAAAAGTATAAGCATTTCATTTCAAAGGGAAAAATTGAAGTTACTATTTTATCTCAAACTAGCTGTACCCGGATACGCGTTGCTGTGGCCCTCAGAAAACAGGATTTGCAGACATGAAACAATCTGGGCTAGGGAACTCCTCCCACCAAAGGTTTCCTGCTGGCTAGTAGAAGCCAGGCTGTTGAGGTGCAAGGTGTTATGGAAAATAAAGTAATGAGAAGCAGCCACTGAAGCTGCAAGGCTTTTCAGTTATATTCATGCTGGCCAAAACACTCAAAAAAGCCTCTTTGAAACAGAGGCTGGGTGGCCATCTGTTGGGGGTGCTTTGGATGTGATTTTCCTGCTTCTTCACAGACTGGGGTTGGCCCACCAGGTGTCTCCCAACTCTAGGACTCTCTGATTCTATATTCTTCTCTTCCCTTCACCAGTTTCCCCCTTTCTTTCTTTGTTCATTCCCTTCCTTTCCTCTCCCATCCCTGCCTCCTTTCCCTTCCTTCCTCTTTCCTTCTACCTTTCCTTCCATTCATAATCTTCTCTTCACCAATCCTTTTCTTCCTTTCTTCTCTCCTTTCCCTTTCTTTCCCCTCCTTCCTCTGGGACAGTTTGTAAGGGTTTTTAAAAGGGTTTGGGTGTGTGTGAAAAGGGGACGTGGAGCCCAAGTGGGAGAGTTGCTGGCCTTCTCATGGTTCGCATCCTCCCTTCACTTAACGGTGTGTGTGCGCGCGTGTGTGCAGCCGCTCCTACAGTCAGGCTTGACTTGCAAGTCTTGAGGGAAGAGTTGCCTGGTAGCCACATGGGCCTCATGGAGCTGCTGCGGCGGCTCCAGCTGCTGCTGGGGCTTGCCTTGCCAAGCCCCCACCCTTCCTTTGGGCCAGGCCTTCTCCTTCCTTCCCTCTTTCCTTTCCTCAATCCCTCCCCAAAAGAAAAAGGACTCTGCCTTCCTGCATGGAAAGGGACTCCATGGCAAGGCTTCTCTTCCCTCACAACGGTTGGTGCTTCATTCTTCTCGCATGATGAGGAGAGGGGCTTTTGTGCATGCTCTGTTAGGCATTTTTCTTTTGGGGGAGTTTAAAGTTATTTTCCCTTCATTTTTAATGGACTTTTTGTTTGAAAGACATAGATCAGATTAGAATGTGTTTTGCTGCCAAATTTGGTGCTGATTCGTCCAGTGGTTTTTGAGTTTTGTTAATCCCACAAACCAACATTACATTTTTATATAGATAGACAGCATAAATTCAATTCTTCCTTTATGTCCACTCTGATTAGCTGATTTTTTTTACTATTATAATGTAACATACAATGTATTTTTAGTGCTAAATTCCACACTTCTTCATGGGCCAAAACTGAGAGTTCCCACAGTTTTTATTCCAAGTGCAAATTCCTGCAGGACTGCGCGTTTGGGGAATAAGCTATTAACTTTCAGAAACCAAACATAGGAGACTGCAACCCCTAAAATGAATGCACAGGGAAAGATTAAATCATGCAAATGGGGAAAAATACAGAAGTGAAGTAGTTACCATATTAATGGAGAAGTAGTGTCTAGATCTACGGAAGTAATGCTACCCCTCTATTCTGTTTTGGTTAGACCACATCTGGAATATTGTGTCCAGTTCTGGGCACCACAATTCAAGAGAGATATTGACAAGCTGGAATGTGTCCAGAGGAGGGCGACTAAAATGATCAAGGTCTGGAGAACAAGCCCTATGAGGAGCGGCTTAACGAGCTGGGCATGTTTAACCTGAAGAAGAGAAGGCTGAGAGGGGATATGATAGCCATGTATAAATATGTGAGAGGACGCCACAGGGAGGAGGGAGCAAGCTTGTTTTCTGCTTCCCTGGAGACTAGGACGCGGAACAATGGCTTCAAACTACAAGAGAGGAGATTCCATCTGAACATGAGGAAGAACTTCCTGACTGTGAGAGCCGTTCAGCAGTGGAACTCTCTGCCCCGGAGTGTGTGGAGGCTCCTTCTTTGGAAGCTTTTAAACAGAGGCTGGATGGCCATCTGTCAGGGGTGATTTGAATGCAATATTCCTGCTTCTTGGCAGGGGGTTGGACTGGATGGCCCATGAGGTCTCTTCCAACTCTTTGATTCTATGATTCTATGCAGTTAAAATTGTGGAGAAACAAGTCCTTGCTCCTCTTAAGGAGGAAAGTTGATGTAGACGAAGTGTTGCAGCCAGGGTGAAGTACAAGATTATTTGATACAAATAGGTTAATATGAATGTCTCTTCCAAGTGGAAGAAACAACCAGATCCATTACAATATGAATGACACAAGTCTCTTTAGGCCAAGGGCTGGGAGACAAGGTGACGGGCTAGGAAGTATTCTTCCATTTTTTTCCAAAGGGATGTCAGGGTTGCCCGTGGCAATGGCTCATGCCGATTATTTTTTAAGAAGGATTGCTTCCAAGTAGTTTCATTTGATGCCAACCTGTATATTCTGTAGCAGAAGCCACTGAAGAGGTTGTTGATGCATTTTCCCAATCCTTCTCCCCATTACGACTGCCACAACGACTTGGAGATATGAATCCTTCCACAGACTCTGACCTACAAGTTACATTTAAGCAATAAAGAGGCGATATAAATACAACATATGAAAAAGAACGTTCTTTAATGTTAAGATGGAACTAAGAGGCACACTGCTATCGTTTGTGGTTGTTGTTTTAAATGAAACAAGCCCCTGGTCATTTCTAGTTTAACATCTGTCCCAGAAGAAACATACTTTTGGTGGGGATGCATCCTATAGCGGCTATTGTGGGATAACAGTTGGTGCTGAATCCACAGCATATTTTAATTATAATTGTATATTAATTCACACAATGTAGAGACATTCATCTGTGCAGCTTTTGCTTCTCTATAGCCATTCCCATTGAGAAGAGTTAAACTATAACGGCTTCTTAAAATTAAGATTGGTTCCATGATTTAACTTCTAAATATATACATCAGGGGTAGTGCAAAGTGTGGGTTCTGGCCTCCAGGGCTCAACCCTACCTCCCCATATATGGGCTTTAAAAGTATGGGTTCCAAAATGATCTCTAGGGGTGTGGAGGATATTTCCACCACTTTCAGAGTCCCATTGGAATCCAAAGGGTTATAATGAAAATTTGCAAAACAATTTTCATTTGCCATGCAATGACTGCAAATGACCTTCTACTGACCCTGAAAGGCCCCCAAACTTGACCTCATGTTCCCACAGAGCTTTAGAGGACATTTGGGGGCAAAATGATTTTTTCGATGGAAGTCAATGTAGTGAGGAGAGTGAAGTTGTCCAAGATCTCCAGGACAGTTACTACTACCCTTAGTCACCCACTCACCTAGCTCTAGGTGCTCTTACTGCCTGCTACAGGGAAAACCAGCTGATCCCTAATCCATCTAAAACACAGACATGTGCTTTTCTCAAGAACAGACAAGCATCCCGAGCTCTGAGGATCACCTGGGAAGGAATCCCACTGGAGCATTGCAGCGCACCCAAATACCTGGGAGTCACTCTGGACCGTCCTCTGACCTACAAGAAGCACTGCCTGAACATCAAGCAAAAAGTGGGTGCTAGAACAATATCATACGAAAGCTGACTGGCACAACCTGGGGATCACAACCAGATACAGTGAAGACATCTGCCCTTGCGCTGTGCTACTCTGCGTTGAGTATGCATGCCCAGTGTGGAACACATCTCACCACGCTAAAACAGTGGATGTGGCTCTTAATGAGACATGCCGCATTATCACGGGGTGTCTGCGCCCTACACCACTGGAGAAATTACACTGTTTAGCCGGTATTGCACCACCTGACATCCGCAGGGAAGTAGCAGCCAATAGTGAAAGGACCAAGGCAGTGACATCTCCACCTCATCCCTTGTTTGGGCATCAGCCAGCGCGTCAACAACTTAAATCAAGCAATAGTGTTCTAAGATCTACAGAGACACTCGCTGGAACACCTCAGCAAGCGAGAGTCCAAAAGTGGCAGGCTCAAACCCAGAGCCTCAATCAATGGCTGATACCCAATGAGAGACTCCCCCCTGGGCACACAGAGGACTGGGCGACTTGGAAGGCACTAAACAGACTGCGCTCTGGCACCACGAGATGCAGAGCCAATCTTAAGAAATGGGGCTACAAAGTGGAATCCACGACATGCGAGTGTGGAGAAGAGCAAACCACAGACCACCTGCTGCAATGCAACCTGAGCCCTGCACATGCACAATGGAGGACCTTCTTGCGGCAACACCAGAGGCACTCCAAGTGGCCAGATACTGGTCAAAGGACATTTAATCAACTACCAAGCTTGCAAACTCTGTGTCTTTTGTATGTTTGTTTGTTTGTTCTGTCAAAAATGTAATACAACTGTTCGGTTGTCTGACACGATAAATAAATAAATACCCACTCCCCTCCCCGATATATGGATTTAGGCTGCAGCAAGTTCCACTACATTTACTGGGTTAAAGCATCCACAGCAGTGCAATATACTATATATATTCAGGTATAAACTCATGTAGAAGTTGAGGGCAGGTTTTGGGGCCAAAAATATGCTATTTGGCATGATTGTTCAATGGAGAGAGGAAAGTGCAATTACCACCGCAGGGGGCCAGCTGTTTCTAGCTGCCACCACCATTTCTCCATCAGGCATTCAAAAAGATCAGAAGCAGCACCACAGTGGAGAGAAGACAGCAGAGTGGAGTCTTCTAGGTTCTCCCGGGATAGCCTAAGCTGTTGCTCTTTGCCACTCTACTTAAAGGGGGAGATTGTTCTTTGTTTACATATGAAATAAAAGTACAATGGTCAACTTGACCCACAGATACGTTGACTTAAGTTGGTTTTTTGACTAAAATTTCTAGACTTATACATGAGTGCATAAGGTAAGTATGTTCTCCGAGGGGTATTTTTTTAAGTAAGGTCTGTTTTGTTGTAGACACTAGTAGTTCGCATGCATACCGCAACAAGCGCGTGCGTCGTGTACCGGCATGCCTCGGGAACAACTGTGCTCAGTTTCCGTTCTGTAGCTAACCTGTACGGTTCTGTTCTGTGCTTTAAAAATGTTTTAAGACTATCACCTCACCCTCCGCATGTGAGGTTCGCTCAGTGATACGGTTTTTGTCAGCAAGGAACCTGCCTGCTGCAGAAATTCATCGACAGATTTGTGAAGTGTACGGTGATACTGTTATGAGTGAAAGCAAAGTGCGTAAGTGGGTGCGACAATTCAAAGATGGCCGTGACAACGTCCATGATGAGGACCGCTCCGGTCGCCCTTCTTTGATTACCAGTGAACTCTTGGTTATCGGAGCAGGCGGCAAGTTTTTATGAAGAGGGTATTTTAAAATTGGTTCAGAGGTATGATAAGTGTTTGAACAAACTTGGCAACTATGTCAAAAAATAGAGTGAAGTATGTACTTTCTGAAAATAAATTTACTTTTTTGAAATAAACTTTCGTTGTGTACTTATGTTCAAACGGACCTTACTTAAAAAATACCCCTTGTATTTCTATTCATACAGCCAGAGAGCATATTACCGCCCCAGAAAAGCACTGAATGAAACCATCATACGCGTTGCCCCCAATCCTCTACCCATACAGTCATACCATGTCTTGTGATGTCAAGTCATTACAAATGCATAAAAAGCAATGTGTCAATGGAAGCCTGTGAATGACTCATAACACCCTGAGAATTACTATTTCCAGGCTTGTGTTATGGTCATTGTGTATATCCAGATGGTCACATGAACAGAGCTAGTATATTCATCACTGGGTCTGAAGACATGAAGTCATGATTTCTCCTCAAAAATGCATGACATTATTACCTCATTGGCTGAACAGTGTGTGCTTGCAATCATATAAACTTAACAATTTCTTCCAAATGGAAATGGTGTAACCGAAGACTTACCTTGGCGTTCTCTTGCCCGACTGAACACTCTCATTGTCTCCTGTATTCAGTGAGGCCAATGAAAGGCTAGACACTGGGGATGGGGGGGAAACAACATCAACAACACAGTCAGGTTGTGAACCTAGATGAACACAAGGAAGTTTAAAAAATGATGAAACATAAAATAATTTTTTAAATCATGTAAGCATTAGGAAAGTTGCCAAGATTTCTAAGAAATGTGTTGGCTTTCTACTATGAATTCTGTGCCTGTACACTAATATAGTATAGATAGATTTGTTAATTGATTTGTTCACTGACCGTATCAACAATAAAAGACAAAAAAATACACATGCAAATAAACACCAATGACTTTGCTAAAACTCCTATAATGGTTAACTAAAATAAATTAAACATGATAAAACTCGATTAAATAATAAGTTTGGTAAAATGGGATTCAATTACAAGATATAAGCAAGGGGAGTGGCAAGTGTAAAAGAGTATAGTTTCTTATACAATACTTGTATCTTTACACAGTGAACCGTGAGAGATGATTCATAGAGATAAGCCCCTTGTTAAAATAGAGGTGATGTTCTTGTGCCGATTTTCTTAGTTGTGAGCCAAATGGAATCTGGAGAAGTATGCAGCACTTAAACAATAGCTACTTATACCTCCCCAAGTGACATCCAAGCATGACAAACATCAATAATTCACTTGAAAAGCACTTACTACCTATCTTCCGCTTAGGGGCAAGCAAAACAAAAGGCTAGTAGAGAGAACATGCATAAAAAATGTTTCTACCCCGCCTCCATCTCCCCGAAGGGACTTGGGGCGGCCAAGCCCAAGACAACACACAATTAAAAACAGAACAATAACGCATCAATAACAGGACCTCTGAGGAAGCTTGCCATAGATGCAGGCGAAATGTCAGGAGAAATGCCTCTAGAACATGGCCATATAGCCCGAAAAAACCCACAAGAACTGAGTGATTCCGGCCATGAAAGCCTTCGACAATACATAGAACAATAACGTATTAAAATAGCATAAAAACAGCATAAACAATAATAAACAAGCATCAAAAGCAACAACAGGCTCCTTTTTGGAGGGGGGAGGAGGCCAATATGTGAAACTAGTTAAAGGATAGGGTGGTCCATAAGGTGGATACAAACATATAGTAGCATAGAAATAATGGCATAGAAATAGGGCAATTAAACAGGATCAATTCAACTTAACTTAAAAATGTGGTGATGTAATATAGGAATTTGGATTCAGGTCATAATTCATGTCATAAAAGGAGACATATTTGAATGAAGCCCCCCCCCCCCTTATTATGGAGACTAGAATAAGAGATAGCTGTATGCTCCTTCGGTTATTTAGTTTTCCAACAAAAGCTGTAATTCTTAGCATTGATCTCCTTCTATATTTATTACCTGGAGGACCTTTGATTGGGGTTTTGGGTGATTCAATGTGGTCTCTATGAATGGATTTGGGTCGTGGCTTCTTTTGCTTGGCCAAGTGGGAACGGGGCTTGATGATAATGTCCATGTCCTCCATGAGCTTCAGCTGCTTTCGTCTCATGTATTCTTGCTTAATGAACTCTCGCCGCGCTTTTTCATCTTCCTTCTTCTGACGTTCCTCCTCAGACTTCCTCCTTGGAAAATCCACATCAATATACTATTAATAAAATTATACTTCTCTCAGAGATACAAAAAACATGTTATGTTATGTTCTGAAGAAAACTTCATGTAAAAACTTCATATTGGAATTCAAGGTTAACTCAAGGTATCCTAGTGCAAATATGAAATGAGATGCTCCTTAAGTACTTCATTCTAGAACTTTTAACTCTATTGCCCAGGAAAGCTATTAGCATTGTGCACTTGTGAGAATCAAGTGGATTATTTGGTTACCTGGAAGCATTTAGAGAAAAATAATTTATTTGGGAATGTTAATATTCCATTGTTTGGGACGAGATATACTTTGAAATAACAAAGTTTGCATTTAAATATGGGTTCAATTACTATGTAACAGGGTTGTTGTAGGTTTTTCCGGGCTATATGGCATTTTCTCCTGACGTTTCGCCTGCATCTATGGCAAGCATCCTCAGAGGTAGTGAGGTCTGTTGGAACTAGGAAAATGGGTTTATATATCTGTGGAATGACCAGGGTGGGACAAAGAACTTTTGTCTGTTGGAGCTAGGTGTGAATGTTTCAACTGACCACCTTGATTAGCATTTAATGGCTTGGAAGTGCCTGGGGAATCTTTTGTTGAGAGTGATTTGATGTGCCTGATTGTTTACTCTCTGTTGTTTTGCTGTTGTAATTTTTGAGTTTTTTAATACTGGTAGCCAGATTTTGTTCATTTTCATGGTTTCTTCCTTTCTGTTGAAATTGTCCACATGCTTGTGGATTTCAATGGCTTGCCCAAACACGAATCAAGGAACATGAAAGGCACGGCAGACTGACTCAGCCAGAGAAGTCAGCCATAGCAGAGCACCTTTCTGTTGAAATTGTCCACATGCTTGTGGATTTCCATGGCTTCTCTGTGTAGTCTGACATGGTGGTTGTGAGAGTGGTCCAGCATTTCTGTGTTCTCAAATAATATGCTGTGTCCAGGTTGGTTCATCAGGTGCTCTACTATGTAACACATTTTTTGTTTCTGGGTTATAAATGTCGTTTCCTAATTTGCACAATCATCAAAACATGGAAAGTTTTATTAAACTGTAAAAAGTTTGATTTTGTGGGACATTCTGCACCACTTTGTGCTATGGTTTTTTAATGAATATCTCCTCAAGTCTCAACCAATTCAACATAATTTGTGGCAGCCACAAAAATGAAGTTTCTGGAGTACAACTTCTTTCAGAGTAAGTACTGCACACTGTGCACAATTAAAACAGGAAATAACACTTTCAAACCAGGAACAACATTGTTTTCAAAATTTGTTACATAATGCTATATTAGTTTTATTATATTATTATATTTTAACCTTTATGGAATACTAATAATTATGTGAAATATTTTAACATCAAGCCATCATATCAATTTGTTCAAATGTGGCTTCAAATCTTGGCTTATTCATTAGCTGTAGCTTAAACAAGTCACTGTTCCGCATGTTGAGATGTTTTCAAAATCCTACTCAGGCATATGCAAGAAGATGAGTGAGTACTTTGTTCAAAGTGTAGTTGTACATGTACAGGAAATCCATGCTTTTCTGTTATATGTGAATCTGGCTTTTATTTAGTGATGGGAAGGGGAAAGTGCAGTCTGTGTGCCACATACCCACCCTTCTGGAATCCCAACACCTTGAAACCCTCTCCTAAACAAAACTGAACATTTTTCCACATGATAAATGTCTCCCAATTCCTCCAAACACAACTTAGAAAGCAGTATCGCATATACAATTCCCAAATTCTGGTAACTGATTTTATAAAAATGCAAACCGGAAGTAAATATCTATTATTATTATTATATATAGGAACGGAATTATGGATGACGAATTGGATCACGATTTGTTAATGTGTTGGTATTGATGTGTTATTACCATGTATACTATGTTGTTAATGGTTTTTTAAATTTTGTATGTTGTTGGATTGACTTTTTGCTCTTGTTGTGAACCGCGTTGAGTCGCCTACGGGCTGAGAAACTGCGGTATACAAGCAAAGTAAATAAATAAATAAATAAATAAATATTCCAAGCAACTTACAATAAATGTAATACAATAAGTACAGAAATACAATAAATGTAATACAATAAGTACAGAAATTAGGATAAACATTAATAAAACAATAAATATAAAACATAAATCCATATCCTAGAGGTTGACTACTCACTGTCAAAAGCCTGTTTAAATAACCAGATCTTCTAGTCCCTCCTGAATGCCATGAGGGTGGATGCCTGTCTACGGTTACTTCCAAGACCAATTCTCAGTCACTTTTCAGTCAAAAACCACACCTGCTGTGGATGTGGAAACCGGACTTCTGCAGGGTTTATCGGAAGGCTACTACTACCTTGCTTTTTTTTTGTCGTGTTGGGAGCAACTTGAGAAACTGCAAGTCGCTTCTGGTGTGAGAGAATTGGCCGTCTGCAAGGACGTTGCCCAGGGGATGCCCGGAGGATTTGATGTTTTTATCATCCTTGTGGGAGGCTTCTCTCATGTCCCCGCATGAGGAGCTGGAGTTGATAGAGGGAGCTCATCCGCCTCTCCCCGGATTCGAACCTGCGACCTGTCGGTCTTCAGTCCTGCCAGCACAGTGGTTTAACCCACTGCGCCACCGGGGGCTCCTTACAACCTTGTTGATACAAATGTTCAACTGTAACTGAATCAGAATCTGATCTTGTTTCATTTTTGTTCCTAAGGGCATGATTCATGTTGTCTTTGAGAACTACTCAAAACATTGTCACTAGTCAAGTTTCTTCTGCAAACAGAAACTGAAATGGTTTTCAGGAGAAAAAAACTGTTGTATGCCACACATCACTTCTATGGTGTAACTGTTAAGATTAAAACAAACTGAATCCAAACCAGCTATTTCTCAGAAAGACTACCACCAGCAATTGATTTTACTTTGTTTCTTCTTTCTTGGTTTCTAACTCTGCTTCCAACTGCTGCTTTCGAAGTAAGGTCTCTCTTTCCCTTCTCAATCGTTTCTCCAACAATGCTGCCCGTTTCACTGCCATATCATTTTCAGGTTTTTGATCATCCTGGTTACAACATTGAGGAAGGAGCAAGTCAAGTGATATTTTATCATTATGAGCAGATAATTCATAGTAGGTTATGTGAAAAACTGTTGTAATATTCACTTCCTAGGCAGAAAAGGTTTCCCAATACAAAACACCACTAATGAGAAAATGGGGAATAGCTGTGAGGTTCTACATACATTGATATTAGTTTATGCAAAAATACACCAAGTTGTTCTGCACAAAAGTATATTTTTGTGGAGGAAAGAAAATATTTTCTCTGAAAAGTAATATTTTTCTCAATATGTTTCTATGTAAAAAAAAAATTTGACCAGAAAACACAATTCTAAAACCATGACTAATATTTTCGCAAATTACATAAATTATCAAATATATTGTTTTCTTTGCATAAATAATAAAGTATGGGAAAAACATGTTTTATGCGCAAAACATTTTGTTTTAAATGTTTTAAAATATTTCAAATACTGACTTTGAAGTACAGTATTATATTACTATAATATTAATATTTTAAATATTGTTTTTTAAATATATTTTAAAATATTGGTTCTGTGCATTAAAAAAGAAATCTTCCTCCCAGTATTTTTTTTGCTTTGTACAACCACATGTATTTTTTTCACAAAATTTTTTTCCCAAAATCTCAACAAATACTGATAAAAAAATTCAGCAGAAAACTTCATAATCTCACAGAGGAAGACAAAAAGCTGGAATTATTTGTCTTTGCATATGAGAATGGAATAAATGAAGATTAACATCTGTAACTCACTGTGCAGTCACTAAGAAGGGTTGGGATCAACATAAAGTTTCAAAATAACTTGTTTAAATTTATAGAGTGAAAAATAAGTCTAATTTTTCACATTATATTGTTCTTTTATAGTAATCTGCTCCACTAAATTATGTGCAGGTTCAAGAGATTCCCTAGGGCAGTGGTTCTCAACCTATGGGTCCCCAGATGTTTTGGCCTTCAACTCCCAGAAATCCTAACAGCTGGTAAACTGGCTGGGATTTCTGGGAGTTGTAGGCCAAAACACCCGGGGACCCACAGGTTGAGAACCACTGCCCTAAATAGACAGAATCCTACACCAAACTGCAGTCTTTGAAAACCATTCCTCATATAACAGAGCAAAATGACTATAATCCTATTTTGCAGAGGAACTTACATTGCCCAGTTTTATATTTCCAAGACACAGACACTAACTGTATTGCTGAGAGGGATAAGGGAATAGACACTTGGAAAATGGGATTAAATTATCTAAAACAGTGGTTTCCAACCTTTGGGCCTCCATGTGTTCTGAACTTCAACTCCCAGAAATCCCAGCCAGTTTACCAGCTGTTGGGAACTGTGGGAGCTGAAGTCCAAAACACTTGGAGACCCAAAGTTTGGGAACCACTGATCTAAAAACCCCAGTCCTCCAAGTGTTTTATAATAATAATAATAATAATAATAATAATAATAATAATAATAAACCTTTATTTATACCCCGCTACCATCTCCCGAAGGACTCGGTGCAGCTTACATGAAGCCGAGCCCAAATACATCAGTAAAAACAACAACAAAATGAAATCAAAATAAAAGCAATAACCATTAACAAAACACCACGATGCATTAAAATCTATGGCAGGGCCAAATGTAATAGTTAAAATTAAAAATATGCTGGGCATGGCCAGGTGAAAAGGGTAGGTATTTGGAGGGGGATGGGGCATGCAGATATCCTGGGTCTCTAGTAAAGTGCATTTGGGGACATATTGCTTGGAGTTTCCTTATTCTGGGAAGGCACACTGGAACAACCACGTTTTCAAGCTCCTCCTAAAACTGGAACTGGTTCCCAGAAACCTCAGCTGTTTTGGCCAATGATCAAGGATCCTGGGAGCTGAAGTCAAAAACTGAGGACCAGAGTTTAGGAAACACTGATTTCTAGACTGAGATCATAATCTGAAGGACAACACCAGCCATTAACTACTACAATCAACACATTCTGATCCAGAAATTGTAGAAACTACATTCCTAATACTTGAACCATCCATCTCCCATTTATTTCTTCCTTTGCTCAATGCTCCAAATACATAACATATACAGGAGTGTGGGGAAACTACCAGAGAGACTTTAGCAGTGACCAAAGCGTAAACATGTTTTTCAGAGACGCCTAACTTCTAGCTGTTTTGTTCTCATGATGGACTTGTTCACTCACCTTAAAAAAGAACCCACAGCACAATTTTTGGTCATCTTCCAACTGCTCTTTGTCACTCTCGCCCTCTGATTTCTCCACAATCTCTTCTGATTTTTCAGGTGGCTTCAGATCTGTAAGGGAAACCTCTATGAGGTTAACTGTTTTAGGTGGAGGCACTAGCAATGATGAGGGATCCAGCAGCTCTTCACTGGGAGTAAGGCAGACAATTTCTGTAATGGGCTGGGAGAGGACTTCCGAAACTGTAGATTCCAGGGGCTTGAGCTGCTGCTGCTCTGGATTTTGCTCAGCAAGCTCTTCAGTTGTTTTCTCCCCAGCTTCTCCTTTAGCTGCTTCTTCTGTTGTATTTTTGACCTCCTTTGACAGGTTACGTTCACCATCATCTCCAAAATAAACAAATGATCTCGTCTGAATGGATGCCTGACTTGGAGAAAATCTTCTCAGACGAGGAAGGCTGTCCACCGATCGTGGTGCAGTCAAAGTGCGATTCAAAGGGGTTAATTTCAATTCATTTGGCCTCGGAGTCCTTTGCGCTTTGACGGGGAGAGTTGAACTCTTCCTAGAAGATGCCTGTGGGGATTGATGGGAAGGCCGAGGGGATTCCACAGAAAATGGGGCAATGGGTACAGATGATCCCGTAAATTTCAATGAAGGCTTGAGCTCCCGAAATTGTTTCTGAGGAGAAGGCTGAGGGGGTGAAATAACCCAGGCCTGCTGTTCCCGCATCTGCATGAGCATCTCTTGCTGAAGTGACAGGCGCTGCATTTCTTGCTGAAGGAAGTTCAGAGACGAATTGAGCTTCTCAATAGATTTTGTATACTCCACAAAGTCTCCTTCGTTCAAATTTTCTTCTGATGGACTTACCAAATGACATTGCTTTTCTGTATCCGCTGTGGTATTGGGAGACTTCAGCCATTTAACCTGAGGCTTTTCGCTGCTTGTTTTGATCATCTCTGCCATCTTGTTTAGATGTTCACCAGGTTTTTGGGTATCTTTCTCTTTCAACTGAGTGCTGTCAGTAAACACTTTCTCATCCTCTGCTCCAGCTGCTTCTTCTCTGAACGGGGAAATTGAATCACTTTTCTTTTTCACAATGTTAAGGAATGCCGTTCTTCCCATTTTTTGCCTCTGCTTCGTGAATGCAGCCTCAACCTTCTTCTTCTGTGCTTCAATGGCTCGTCTTTTCTCTTCCAGCTTCATCTTCAATTGCACCATTTCAGAGGCCAGCAACTGTGTTGTATCTCTGCTCTGAGGGACGGGGGATTCTTCTGGTATTTGAGCCCACGAAACCATGTGAGGAATGTTCAGCTCAGAGCCTTCCGGGGTTGTTTTCTGAGAACTGCTACCGCTACTTCGACTATCTGTATGATTCAGCTTCCTAAATTTCTGTTCTGCAAAGCTGGTCATTTTTACCCCTGAACTTGAGGATGCGCTGCTACCCGCTTGCGATTTGGCACTGACCGAGCTTGGACACGGACTCAATAACTCCTTGTGGTTGCTGCCTCTGCCATCATATTCATGAAGAAATCGAGATGACTCCTCCATATCTGAGTCTAAACTGACAGTATAATCCCTCAAAGTTGAATCCTCGTCCATAGTCTCTGGAATGTCTGAAGGGACATGGATTCCAGTATCCACTTCTGTATTGTCAGTCACAGGACTAAGGGCACCTTTAGTATCTGCAATGATATCAGGACTAGTCTGATTGGGTTTTAGATTTGAGTTTAGGATGCTCATCTCTGTATTGTGAAGAAAAAACCCATTTGTAATTTGTTCTGGCTGAGTAACACTCGGAGATTTTTCATTATCATGGATAATCTGCAATGCCTGCTCAATGCTTGGTGTCTCAATCTGATTGCCAAATTCATCAGTGACCAACCTATTTTGCAGTGCTCCATTTGGCAGGCTGTATGGATTAATTTGGTTAGCGTTCCTCTGATTGCTATTGTCCTCTAAATGACTGCAAAATTCAACATCCTTTTCTTCTTCAATATCTTCACTTTCTTCTTCGCCATTCACAGGCTTGAAGGATATGTTCTTTCTAATATGTCTTGGCATACGGTTAGCATTTTGCTCAAGACCTTCATTGCTGAGGGATCTAGTAATGCCTCTGTTTGGAGTTCTAATTCGCATGCTGTCCTCTTTATCAAAGGAAATGTCAAACGAAACTCCATGCACTGAGGACCTAAAAGGGAATTAAAAAAAAAAAAAGCTGAGAAAACCTTTAAACCAATTCCCAATTGAAATTTAATATTAATTGTAATTAATACACAACATTTCCTGTTATGGCATAAATGCTGGCTTTATATTCTAGTGACAAAGTGCTTTATTTATTTTGTATCAAAAGCATTGCATAAATTAGTATAAAACTGATAAAAATAGATAGAGCACAGATGGCTAAATATCTTTTGACCAAAAGTGGGCAACAGCAATGGCATTGTCTGTAGCCTCCTACAATTCTTCCTCTGTACATGAGGCAGGGCATAGTGGACAAGCATACAGATGCAGGTGTGGGATTCTTTTATGTAGTGCCATTTTGCTAGATTGTCTTTTGATCTGACAAGGTCCTAACATGTGCTAAAACAGTAGTTCCCAAGCTTTATTTGACCAGAGACCACTTTGACCAGGGACCACTCTCCAACATTACTACAAAAAGAGTTACTAATACTAGATACAAATACTAGATACAAATACTAGAGACAAAGTTGAAGTACTTTGGCCACATCATGAGGAGACAGGAAAGCCTAGGGAAGACAATTATGCTGGGGAAAGTGGAAGGCAAAAGGAAGAGGGGCCGACCAAGGGCAAGATGGATGGATGGTATCCTTGAAGTGACTGGCTTGACTCTGAAGGAGCTGGGGGTGGTGACGGCCGACAGGGAGCTCTGGTGTGGGCTGGTCCATGAGGTCACGAAGAGTCGAAGACGACTGAACGAATGAGTTACAAATCCATTTTTGGTCAACTTTAGATTTGGTTTGGTTATTTGGGGTGCTGATTCAGAAAATTGCATTGTATAGACCACATCAGCTGTAGTTTTTGATACAGAACATATACCATCCAGTAGTCACCATCTGCTCACACACAATATTTAATCATCTAGAACAGGGGTCCTCAAACTTTTTAAACAGAGGGCCAGGTCACAGTCTCTCAAACTGTTGGAGGGCCAGGATTATAATTTGAAAAAAACATAAATGAATTCCTATGCACACTGCACATATCTTATTTGTAGTGCAAAAACACTTTAAAATGATACAATAATTAAAATGAAGAACAATTTTAACAAATATAAACTTATTAGTATTTCAATGGGAAGTGTGGGCCTGCTTTTGGCTAATGAGATAGGGTGTTGTTGTTGTGTGCTTTCAAGTCGTTCCAGACTTAGGTTGACCCTGAGCGAGGGCCGGGTAAATGACCTTGGAGGGCCGTATCCAGCCCCCGGGCCTTAGTTTGAGGACCCTGATCTAGAACTTTATTTTTCTACCCTGTCTCCATCTCCCCGAAGGGACTCGGGGCAGCTTACATGGGGCCAAGCCCAAGGCAACATACAATTAAAAACAGAACAATGACATATTAAAATAGCATAAAACAGCATAAACAAACATCAAAAGCAACAACAGACTCATTTTTGGAGGGGAGTGAAGGGGCCAATATGCGCCAAGGCAACAGGGATTTCGGAAGGGGAGAGGCTGACTACCCACAAAAGATTACTACTACCACATCAGTTCTTCTTCTTCTTCTATAAGAGGGTTTCATGAGACCAATAACTTGTTGCTGCATGGTTTCGAGGCAACGGTATTGTATTGGTGAGGCCACTGACATATTTTTGTTTTTGTGGACCAGTGGTGGTCCACGGGACACAGGTTGGGAACCACTGTGCTAAAACATAGGATCAATCCTTTATTCATAATGGTATGAATGCTATTATCAATTCAGTAAAAAAATAGATGTGCATCATTTTTTATCCATTTGAGGTTTCAGTGCATCTTTAAAAAGTTTGACTTAGCCTCTTTTTGATGTTACTGAGAGCAATAATTGGTTGTAAATAAGTAATTGTCCTATTTAAATAAGCTTCAACATAGGTACAAGTTTAAGTAACTTCAATTCTAATAACACAGATATCTATAAATCAGTTGTAAATAAGCAATTGTCCTATTTAAATAAGCTTGTACCTATGTTGAAGCTTATTTAAATAGGACAATTGCTTATTTACAACTGATTTATAGATATCTGTGTTATTAGAGAGACTGAGAGTAACAAGACAAACCATCATCATTTTTTGTTCTTGCTCTGAATAGGAAAACATATTTACCTTCTCTCCTAAGAGTTCCTGAATGTCCATTGGTTGTTAATAAGATTTTTTAATGTCAGGAGTGACTTGAGAAACTGCAAGTCACTTCTGGTGTGTGAGAATTGGCTGTCTGCAAGGACATTGCCCAGGGGACGCCAGGATGTTTGATGTTTTGCCATCCTGTGGGAGGTTTCTCTCATGTCCCTTCGTGGGAAGCTAGAGCTGAGACAGGAGCTCACCCCACTAGCTGGATTCGCACTGCCAACCTGTTTGTCAGCAGGCCCACAGGCACAAGGGTTTAACCCATTGCGCCACCGAGGGCTTAGTTAATAAGAAAAACTGCCCTGATGCAAAAAAAAAAAAAGTTGCAGAAAAGACTCCACAAACCACTGGATTCAGGCTTAACAAATATTTCAATATCTGTACAAATGATAATCTAAATATTTAGACTTGTCACCTCTGAATTTATCACAAACAGAATCCAAAACATATAATAGACCCCCATTTCTTGTGACATTTACAGATATTTTGATAATATGACATCTAAGTAATAACTTCTTCCTGTTTTCTTTTTGGAAACTGTTAAAAATTTGATGGCCTCGAAATCAGTTCTGGTTTTCAAGCTGTTGACTGCTAGTCTATGGCAAGTTTCCAGGAAAGAAAAGTAGTTTAGCCAATGTGGTCAAATATGGTACTGGCCCCTGACATATTAGAAAAAAAATCACAGCACACCAACATCACATAGTACATCCCTACAGCATGTGGGGCCATGTTCATTGTCTTTTTACCCACCCCAAAAAAATCAATCCTGGACCTAAAACACCCTAAGGTAGATAAACATGACACAAACTGCTTTCTGCATCCTTTAAGGTGTAGGGATAATTTTGAAACAAAAATTAAAATTAAAATAGACATAAAATTGAGCGACATTTAAGCATGGAGATTCTGTTCATTCTATAATTTTTTTTGTCTGAAAGAGTATTACAAGCCTGAAATCTCTGCACTGTGCTTCTCCTCCACGTTGTCTGGCAAACCTCAGTAGTTCTAGTATACAAAAGCAATTGTGACAAGCTCTAGTTATTCCATGCATGTTCAGGTTGCATGTGAATTTTCAAGATATTCAAACTATGATGCAATTCTCTTGCAACACAGAGTAATATTAAGTGGTGCAGGCCTATTTTAAGTTAACACAGCTTAAACTGACAACAGGCTTACCTTTTTTCCTTGGGCCATGTTCCTACGTATCCATCCATATAAGACATTGATGAAGATCTTCTAATGCTGCCTATCAGAAATCAACACAGGAGGCAAGGCAATAATGAGTATTTCTTTCTTTTCCCCCTCTAAGCATTTAAACTAAAGGAATTTGTTCTTTTTACAATTAAGGTGGACTACATAAATGTATGTAGGATGTAGCTATTTGTCTACATTTCATACAAAAAGAACAGGTTTACTTAAATAACGTTTTGATAAAACAAAAATAAATGATCATTGCCATGAAATTAAGTTAGAACAGCAACCATTATTCTACCAGTCATATTTGTGGGGACTTTAAGAAGGAAAGAAATGCAATTAATAATAACAATAACAACAATGATAATGATGATGATAATAATAATAATAATAATTAATAATATAATAGAAAACTGGCAAAAGAAGGCTCTCCATGGACAGTTCCTGGGAAAAATTGAGAGCCAAATTGACAAAGAAAAAACATGGCTGTGGCTCACAAATGGAACTCTGAAAAAGGAGACGGAGGGCCTGATTCTGGCAGCCCAAGAACAAGCCATTTGAACCAATGCCATCAAAGCCAGAATTGAAAAGTTGACAACAGATCCCAAATGTAGACTCTGCAAGGAAGCAGATGAAACAATAGATCACATCCTCAGCTGCTGCAAGAAGATCGCGCAGACAGACTACAAGCAGAGGCATAACACCGTTGCTCAGATGATTCATTGGAACTTGTGCCACAAATACCATCTGCCTGCGACAAAGAACTGGTGGGATCACAAGCCGGAAAAAGTTACAGAGAATGAACACGCCAAACTCCTCTGGGACTTCCGGATTCAGACAGACAGAGTTTTGGAGCATAATACTCCTGACCTCACAATCGTGTTAAAAAACAAAGTATGGATCGTCGATGTCGCAATCCCAGGTGACAGCAGGATTGCAGAGAAACAACTCGAAAAGATGACACAATATGAGGATTTAAAAATCGAACTGCAAAGACTCTGGCACAAGCCAGTAAAGGTGGTCCCAGTGGTGATCGGCACGCTGAGTGCAGTGCCTAAAGACCTTGGCCTGCACTTAAACACAATCGGCGCTGACAAAATTATCATCTGCCAGCTGCAGAAGGCCACCTTACTGGGATCTGCACGCATTATTCGCTGATACATCACATAGTCCTAGACACTTGGGAAGTGTCCGACGTGTGATCCAATTGAACAGCCAGCAGAGTATCTGCTGTGGACTCATCTTGTTGTGTTTCTAATAATAATAATAATAATAATAATAATAATAATAATAATAATAGGGAAGTGTCCGACATGTGATCGAATACAAAAGCCAGCAGTGACCTTGTTTGCTGTGTACTAATTTTGCCATGTATCAAATAATAATAATTGTTATTATCTTGTCTCACCATCCCCAATCCATTGCAGTGTCCTGCAGTGAATAGAGTGTTATGCCCCAGTTGGGAGAACCAACTAATTGTGTATTCAAAGCTTGCTGGCTTATGCTGGGCAAGTTACTACCTTCAGCATTACCTAAATCAACGCATGAGTCATAGGGCGGGAGACAGAAGAGAGACCTGGCTCCTTAGAAGGAGGGAATAATAATAAAACTGACAATTTGTCAAGCCATTTCTACCACCAAATAAAAGTAATTTGTTGTTGCTGTTTATTCATTCAGTTGCTTCTGACTCTTCATGACAGTTCATTAAAAATGACTTGGTGTGTGCGCGAGAGAGAGAAAACTCCTTCTATAGAAAGCAGAAGAGATACCCCTGATTCCAGCCAGGTTTCAATAAGCCAAACCTCCAATCTTTCCCCTTTACACTCATACCTGCAGCAGAGGAATAAGGCTGTTGGTGTCCATGGCTGCTGGGAGAAATCTGATGGGATGGGCCCTCCATGCTGAAAAACAACAAAGTGCAGACCTGAATACTTGTGTGAAAACATCAACAGATGACTTGGTGCAGTTAAAATTATTTATTAAGATTTCAAAACCAGCCTTTTAACGGTATCTTGTGAAAAGGCATTCAGTAATACTGCAATATAACTTATTTTTATGTATATTTATTGTTTATTTTATGTTTCGGCATTGAATGTTTGCCGTATATATGTCGTGCTCCACCCTGAGTCCCCTTTGGGGTGAGAAGGGTGGAATATAAATGCTTTAAATAAATTATTTTTACCCTCAACAAAGTCATTCAGTTAAATAAAATTTCATAACTGTATGTAGCTTGTCCCGGAACTATAAGAGAAGCTATTATCTGCACGAGGGTATCATACTTCTTTAAACTGGCATAGTTATAAACTGGCATATGTTTATAAAGCTATTGTCCTCCCAACTTTGCTATACGCCTGCGAGACGTGGACTATCTACAGACGTCACATGTAACTCCTAGAACGATTTCATCCTGCAAATCTCTTGGGAAGACAAGCGGACAAATGTCAGCATGCTGGAAGAAGCAAAGACCACCAGCACTGAAGTGATGGTCCTCTGCCATCAACTCCGCTGGACCAGCCACGCTGTCCGGATGCCCGACCACCGTCTCCCAAAGCAGTTGCTCTTCTCCAAACTCAAGAACTGAAAATGGAATTTGGTGGGCAGGAAAAGAGATTAAAAAATGGGCTCAAAGCCAACCTTAAAAACTCTGGCATAGACATAGATAGAAAACTGGGAAGCCCTGGCCCTTGAGCTCTCCAGCTGGAGATCAGCTGTGACCAGCAGTGCTGTAGAATTTGAAGAGGCACAAATGGAAGGTGAAAGAGAGAAATGTGCCAACAGGAAGGCACGTCAAGCCAACTGTGACTGGGACTGCCTTCCACCTCATTGCGGAAAAACATGCAGATCAAGAATAGGGCTCCACAGTCATCTACGGACCGACTAATACACTGATCTTGGAAGATTATCTTACTTGGACAACGAGGGATTGCCTAAGTCAGGGGTCCTCAAACTTTTTGAACAGAGGGCCAAGTCACAGTCCTTCAAACTGTTGAAGGGCCGGATTATAATGTGAAAAAAATGAACGAATTCCTATGAACACTGCACATATTTTATTTGTAGTGCAAAAAAATACTTAAAAACAATACACTAATTAAAATGAAGAACAATTTAAACAAATATAAACTTATTAGTATTTCAATGGGAAGTGTGGGCCTGCTTTTGGCTGATGAGATAAGATTGTTGTTGTGTGCTTTCAAGTCATTTCAGACTTAGGTTGACCCTGAGCGAGGGCCAGGTAAATGGCCTTGGAGGGCCGTATCCGGCCCTCGGGCCATAGTTTGAGGACCCCTGGCCTAAGTAAAGTAAATAACTTCCTTAAACTATAATATGAAAATGTAAAAATTTAAAACCAAGACTGTTCATCATGTAATGGTTTCAAGTTCTGATTTCTATTTTAAAAGCAAGCCCTGTTTCTAGCTGGAAAACACTTGCTGAATGCATTGGGGACTAGCAGTTTAGGGTCAGCTAAGTGCATAGTTCGTGTAAAGAAAAGACACATAGGGGGGGAAACAAAGTTCTTTTGATTCTCACAATGCCCGCTGGGCTTTTAAAGAGGTTAAAGGGTACTGTTAGAAAAGCATGGTGGATGTATCCCAGACAAATATTATGAGTGTCTTTACTCCGATGATGTATAAAGACTAATTGACTTCCATACTGAATAGGGTGACAGATACATAAACAAGATATTTGATTCCACAAAGCTTTAATAATTCCATGAGTACATTTATTTGTTGGCTTATTGATGAAATGGGACCAAGCAGAATCATGTTATGAATGGTCTTTCTAATGCAGACAAAATCACTCTTGTTTAGAAGACTTG